TAGCATGTGGTGACGTTTCAAGGAACCAGGTTAATATCTGGTCAAGAATGGGATTGAAGTATGTAAAATTATATAAAAGTGTGTAAAAAACAGTTTCCCCCCCAAAATGTCTGCTGGTCCTGGTTCAGAGTTGTGGGGTCACTCACTTAATGTCAACTGGGATGTGTCTGGCTTCCTGCACAAGCACATAGCAAACAGGGAGGTTGCCAATCAGCAGCAATCACTCACACAAATGCCTGAAAGGGTGGTGGAAGCCGATTCAACAACAACTTTTAAAAGAGAAGTAGATAATTATTTGGGGAGAACAAGTTTGCAGGGCTATGGGGAGAAACCGGGGGAGTGGGAATTAATTGGATAGCTCTTTTCAAAGAGCCGGTACAGACACGATGGGCTGAATGGCCTCTATCTGTGCTGTATGTTCACAAGAACAATAATGGCTGATTGGCAAACAGCCAATTGGTCTGCAATGGAAGCCAGAAGCGAACCACACTTGAGGTAATATCAGGTCCGCAGGAGACCTGCATTATTTAAGCAAACTTGTACTCTAGCAATAATGTGGTCACACTGTATTACACTGATATCCTGGAGTTGGAAATCTTAGTTTTTTTTTAAGAATCACATCACTCCCACCCTCGCTCGCCTCCACTGGCTCCCCATCCCCCAGAGGATTGATTTCAAGATCCTCATCCTCACCTACAAGGCCATTCACGGCCTTGCTCCCTCCTACCTCTCCGACCTACTATACCCCTACCTACCTGCCCGTACCCTCCGTTCCTCTGGCTCTGGTCTGCTCCACGTCCCCCGCCCCAACCGCCCTACCATCGGTGGTCGGGCCTTCAGCCTCTCAGCTCCCAGGCTCTGGAACTCCATCCCCCAGTGCCTTCGTCGCCTCCTCCCTTTCCTCCTTCAAGGCCGGTCTCAAAACCTTTCTCTTTGACCGTGCCTTCAGCTCCCCTCTCGACTCTCTTCCCCCTCCTCGCTCCCTCCCTTCCCTCCCCTCACCCTGACCATTTCCCCCCTCCTCGCTCCCTCCCTTCCCTCCCCTCACCCTGACCATTTCCCCCCTGCTCGGGTCATGACCCAACTGTGCAGCGCCTTGGGACGTCCTCCTGACGTGAAAGGCGCTTTATAAATGGAATCTTGTTGTTGTTGTTGTTGTTGTAAGAATATTACCATCTTACTCTTATTCACCTCGATTAGAACTTTAGGTAGTTTGATGAAAGCCCATAGAATGACAACATAAATATGGGTGGTGCTATTGGAAAGAATGGCAAAATGAGCATAATGTCCTTTCAGTGCAAGTCTTTTTCATTTTGTTACACAAACTCAATACTTCATTAGAGATAGGGTTCTGCGTTTTGGCAATATGAGTTTCATCAGAATGTGGTCTTTTTTCTTCTTCCTCCTCCCACTTGTATTTTTGTCTTATTGATACTACACATTGTGTGCAGGTAAAGAGAAATAGCACTCACCGGACAAATGTTGATCGCCATACAGACCTGTGACAGTAAAGAATCGATAAATACAGCCAAACATGTACATTCCTCTTTGGTGATAAATGGCAATAATACAATATTACTGGACAAGGACATCCTCCCGACATGAAAGGCGCTAAACAAATAGAATTTTATTGTTGTTCTTATAATGCAAGGATACCTTGGTATCAAGCAAGTCAGAAACATCTTGGTCTTGAACGTGTGAATATGACACTGAACTGGTGTCACTTGTCATAATCATGTTATCTTATATGCTAGGCGCCCTCTTGTGTTCTTTGCAGAGTATAATGTGACATGGCACACGCAAACCACTCCAGATAGCTGCTTGGAACATTACAAAAAAAGGCAATATAGGTCAAGGGGCTCAGAGGTTAAGGATTATGTAAGTATGATTCAGTCTAAATATCCTGGGATATATTTTTAAAGTGGTGACGTTTATTTTGGAACAAATTCAACTTTCGCAAAACACACGTCAGTAAGGTTCTGTAAACAAATGGCAGGCTGCCCTGCTATCATCCCTGAAAACAAGTGTTTCTTCAGTTCTGTTCCCAAGTTCTTAAAAGATGAAAACAGGAATTGCATTCTGGAGAAATAAAACATCCACTGTACAAATTCAGTTAAGACCATTAATCAGCCAACTCTGTGACTGGTTCAACCCAGTAACAGTGAATCTACCTGCGAACACCATTGTGCCTTCACAAATATCTGCAACTTGCAGTTCGACATAAAGTGGAGGCCTTTTAAGCTCAGTGTAGTGTAAATCCAAAATGGGTGTTTCCTGTAAACACACAGGACAGATGTCCATTCCAGTCAAACAGCAATATCTCCCTGGACTGTGTAGCACTGTCAACAAGGACACATTGGATACAACACCCCATTGGGCCCCACACATCGAAGGCTCTTTCGGTTATCAGTGGTCATGAGGCCCAAACAAATAAATCAGAGAGAGAGGTCAACTCTTATCAACCTTGTTTTCGTTCAATACACCAAGACTGTTTAAAAAATATTTTTTTAAAAAGAACTTTAGATTTCAGGCAGCTATTATAGATTTACTTTTTTAAAAAAAACTTTATTTAGAATTAATTCTAATATTTAAATAAGCACATTTTGGGAAACTATCTCACACAATGGCATGTGGAGTAGATTCATAACGAAGCTCTGGGATTATGATGGTTGTTTAAAATAAAAAGAATCAAGAAACAACAACAAAATTACATTCGTATAGCTTCTTTCACAAGAACCAGTTGCTTGGGTTTCACTTCATACAATATGCCTGGCAGTAAAGCAGTTAATATTGGTTGGTCCTGGTGAACAATCTCTTAAATAAAATTGGTTATTCACTGCATGGCTGTTTGCGCGACATAGCAAATTAGCTGCTATTTTGCCTACAAAATACACTGTCACAATACAAGATACACTTTAAGAAATCCTTCTGAAATGAAAGAAGGGTGGTACATCAAATAAAAGGATTATTATTATTTTTATCAACACTCTTTGATTGAAAGCATAAAATTAAAGCACACCAGTTAATTACACGCAGAGAGGTAGTAGACCTACTGCTCATTTTCAATTTGTTTGGGACAAACAGACTGCAGCTCTTAATCCCATCCACCTTCCTTCTGATCCGGTTTCTGAGGCAACATGTGGTGCAATGGAATATGTCCACAGTTACACTTTGCCAATCTATCTTAACCAGGAGTGGAGTTGAACTAAGCAGAAACAAACTGATGAGAGCTTATCATTGTGTCCTGGGCAACAATCCTTCAAATTAAATTTGTCGTTCACTACATGCCTGTTTGAGGTACATTACTGTGCATTAATTGGCTTCTGTATTCGTCCACAAATTACATCACTTTACAGTATATCCTGTGAAGTGCTTGAGACATCTCAACAATGATTAATTAGCCGAACAGAAGAATTTGGAAAATGTATGATTTCTTAAAGAGTGTTGTATATCGAACTAACCGACTAAAACGCTGCATTTGGCAAGGAGTATGCAGTAGAAGAGCCTCTCTAACCCCAACTGTTAAAGTTTACTGTCAATAACTGCGGACAAATACAGACATTTCAACCATTAGAGAAATCAACAGTGAATAAATATGTCTTTGCTCCAATGCATAGCAACAAGCATAGCGACTTTCTATAGCACCCTTCCCCCAAGCACCCCGAGTGCTTTCATATTCTAGTCAGAGCAGCGTGTGGAATGGATAGAAGAGTCATGAGTGAATCTTCAATAATAGGGAGCAGAGTGGATAGGAGAGGAGTTAGTGATAAGCAGACAAGATGCTCCAGTGTAAGATCCAGAGTCTGACTTTGATTATTTTGCACTGGAGCAGATATGAGAGGAGTCAGCACCCTCCTATCTGTCAGGAAGTTACTCACTGGTCAATAGCCTAACAGATGCTCTATGTGAGGAATGAATAGTGGGAAATAGTCCAGCCAGAAAAAAAAATGGCATCGGAGAAACATAGAATAAAATCATAAAATTAGACACTGGCTTGTAACGGGATCCAGAAAAAAAATGGCTGCTTCTTCTGTATTATCCCTTCCAGCACAGGCTGGCTGGCTTCCTCTGCATAAACACAGCTGACTGGTCAGCCACGGCCATTCTTGGGAGTGGTGCAATAGTTTGAGATAGTGTGCAATAGTGTGCAGGAAGCTAGTCAGTCAGTTCATACTGGAAGTGTACTGCAGGATACCCGGATCCACAGGATACCCACATTATAAGCAGACTCCCGTTCTAGCGATATGCATTATAAATGGGGTCGCCCCGCATCAACAGAATTAAAATAACTACAACTTGCATTTATATAGCGTCCTTCACGCGTGGTAGCGTCTCAGGAACATTGAAAGTGGAAAAGGAAGTGGAGGCAAATGTGCTGGAATTTGCAGAGGAGATGTGAGGAGGGGCCAGATTCTAAACAAGGCAGGAAGATGAAAGTGAAAGATAAACTGAAGACACATGAAGCAAGCAAACAAAACTTAATTCTCAGAAAAGCTTGGAGAAATGGAAACCATAAAGCAGATTTTTAAAAAGAACAAGAAAGCCTGATCAATTCTTGAGAAAATATAATCCAAACGTCAAAAGAAAATTCAGTTAAATATTTCTGGGAATCTCATGACAAAAAGTTCCTTCATTTGAAAATAAAAAGAAGCAAGGGAGAGATTTTTTTTTAGAAATAAAAGTTGCTTGACAAAGAAACAAAACTTAAGTGAAATAATTGTGAATAGGTCGACAAGTCTTGGACTCAAGAGCTCCATATTAAAAGATCAGTCTCACTGGTGTACAATGCTGAATGTTGGAACCATGAAAATGATATTTGACCTGAAGACAACACACCAGTGTGGTGGTAGTTTTACAGACGAATGGTCAATATGACCCCCAATGCTACTGCTGCTACTCCAGTTACCTGTAAATTCAAATATCTGCACCAGTAATGTCTTCTCTCTGCACCATTAGAAGTGCAAAATGACAATAAACAAAGTTAAATGTATCATCAGTACCTGCAGTAGTATGTGGAACCAACGGAAACTTGCTCAGTCCGGTGTCACTCAGAGGTCGTCTTGTGCAAAACAGGTTTCTACTTGATTCTTTCCTCTCCAAGTTGTGTAGAAGCAGATCTTGAATTGGTATCTTACACTCTATCATGCAGGTCCACAAAACAAGAGGAAAATGATTAATGAGACTTTCAGCATAAAATGATTAATGAGATTATGTTTTCATTACTCATTCATGCAATTTACTGGATTTTATTTCATATGATGTCTTATGTCCAAGAGTAAAAATATTCCTCTTCATTTAAGTTTTCTGCAAAGAAAACATCACTTTCTCTCTGGTGGGTTCCCCGATTGGTCTGAAAACAGCTCACTGTGACATTTGAGGCAGATGTCATAGCCCTGGGGGTGCTTGGTAACCACCCTGGTAGCTTCACCTGGGTGAATTGTGTATGGGCATACGTGTGAGCTGCTAATACGATTATGTGCAATTCATTCTGCAACAAGGAAGAGACAAGTTAGAAAAAGGAGCTGACATTGTGTAAGAATATTACTGGACAGCAGCTTTGATCTTTAATTTTCTCCCTCTACTTAACTATTATGATTCCCAGTGAAAAGAATTGAGATTACATTTTGGGATGATGCTTAAATCAGTTCAGTCATCACAAATAGCTGCTATTAAAATCACTCCATTTCCTCCACAAAATCTCAGTACCACTCACAAATTCTATCCACTGTCTACATGCATAATAATAATATTTGCATTTGATATAGTGCCTTATCAAGTTGTCAAAACATCTCAAAATGCTTCATAGAATTTACTGTTAAGTTCAATGACTTTAATTGTAGGTGAATGTGGCAGCCAAATTGTGCACAGCAATTTCTCACAAACGTTTATTTGGGGTATTTTTGGTCAGGCCATTGGGGAATAATTCCCTTCTCTTTTAGAGTAGTCCCATGGGATCTTTAATGTCCACTTGAACATCATCCGAAGCATGGCATCTCTACCAATGCAGCTTTCTCAAATGATGAATTCGAGTGTTTTGTTGGTGTATGACATAATCCTTTAACTTGCATTTGGAAGAAGTTGCAGCTGGAATGAAAAGTTGTTGATACCAGGACACTTGAGGTCACTTATGAAACAGCTGGATGCTATAATGGGAAGACGATGATGCTAGACCATAGAAATCTACAGCACAAGAAAGGACATTCAGTCCCTTGTGCATAAACTGCCTCTCTGAAAGAGCAATCCATTCAATCTCATTCATCTGCCTTTTCCTTAGACCCCTTCAAATTATTAATTTTGTATATACATCTCGTTCCCTCTTGAAAGCTAATATGGACACTGCCTCAGCCACAGCACATGGTAAGATGGGCATTCCACATCCTAAGAACACCCTGCGTAAAACTAAATCCTGCTACCCTCCCCTTTGCTACCTTCTGCATTTTAAATTGTAACTCTAGGCACTGTCTAAATAACTAGTGGAAATAATTGCTCCTTATTTACTCTACTCTATCAAAACCGTTCATAATTATAAAGTCTTCTATCAGGTCTCCCTTCAGTTGTTTTTTGCTTCTTTTGCAACTTTTTATAATTCTATCACAAGTGTAGTGCCCCAATTAAGGTTTGATATCTGGGAGATAAAAGCAGATCACCAGAGATCACAAACACTACTGAGCTTTTTGTATTTGACACATTGCCATTTATTATGGGCAGGGCGAAATCTTAGGCAAGTTTCCTTACTCCTGGCAGTAAGTGGAAACACGGTTGTTAGTTAATTGGTGTCTTGCTTTCCGGGGGAAATAATCCCTCAAAAATCATTTGGTCACTCGATTCAGATCCATGACTGTTTGTGGGACAATGCTGTGCACAATTGACTGCCGTGTTTCACCCACAAAATACACAGTCAATCCACTTCACAGGATATATTCTATAAAGTGCTATATCAAATGCAAGGATTACTATTATAAATATAACAGACTTGAAAATGCTGAAATACTACAAAATATTCATCAAGCAGCCCATAACAACCAGATTATCTCTCAAATCAGGTGTACTAATATTTAGCTGTCATTAGATTGAATCAAATATATTAATCACACCAGCAACCTCTGGGGCAAGAAGTTAATCAGATACCAAAGTTCACCAAACAGATAATACTTGTATTTGATATAAAGCCTTTCACCTTGGGAGGGCATCTCAAAGCGCTTCATATGATCTACTGTAAAGTGCACAAAAACAGATTTCCAGCATCTGCAATATTTTGCGTTTAATTTTATTAAGGGATTGTTGGGCAGGACACTGGGAGAAACTGCCTTTTATTTTCAAATATTGCCAATGGGATCCTTAACCTGATGGAACCTTTGTTTAATATCTCATCCATCCGACGAATTGCACCTTCAACATTGCAGTGCTACCTCATCACTGTATTTAAGTGTCAGCCTAGACTGTGACTTAAATGTCCTGACGTGTGGCTTAATCCCACAACCTTCTTTCTTCTTTCTGACCTGCTGACTCCCTACCAACCTGCCAGCTCCCTCCATTCATCAGGTTCCGCCTTGCTCCATGTCTCCCACCCAACCTACTATCGGTGGCCGGGCTTTCAGCCTCTTTGCCCCCACACTCTGGAACTCCATCCCACAGTCCCTTCGCCTCGCTTTTCCTTCAAGGCCAGTCTCAAGACCCTTCTCTATGACCGTGCCTATGGTCTCCCTCCCACCTTTCTGCCTCCTCTCCCCCATGCTCAGGCCCCGACACCTGACTGTTCAGCGCTTTGGGACGTCCTCCCGAAGTGAAAGGCGCTCTCTAAATATCATTTTGTTGTTGTTGTGTTGTTTCTGACTCAGAGGTGAGAGTGGTACCAACTGAGCCATGCTGACACACAAGGATGTACTGTGACGCAATTCTCGTAATTCCAGCATTATGGAATGTTATTTTAAATCAATTTTCTAGATTGGTAAAATCTATTTTTTGTTGCAGGAGTCAATGACATCTTTAAAAATCATAACGAGTCAAGGTGCTCGATGGTGTTGCTGCTGGATGATACACTTTTTGACCTGTTTGCACTCACAAGCCACATCCAGTGCAGGCAGATGCAAGGTTTTTTTTCAATTCTGCTCTCAACAATGTGCCTTCATCCTGCACCATAGAAGAGCCTCCACTCCATATGCGAGAATGGCATCTCTAATTTCTACACCAACACCTTTGTATCAGGTCTGAGCAACAGTGCCAATTTAGCACCGCTTGTGGGCAGCTTAAATAGTAAACCTAGAGCGACCAGGAGCTGGACAGAAATTGGTGAAGTTCATTTTGCCTTATATCCAAGTACCCCGATTTAGACTCGGTGCAAAACTGTAAGTGCCATGAATTCTATGCAAAGAGTAGGTTTCTGAAAGCTGCAGGTACAAAACCTGCCTTTATTCTCGCCTTCCCACCAAAAGCAAAGTCAGCATTACTGACTATGCCCCAGTATGGTGCCATTTCTCCAACTCTGGAAAGTTGTGAGCAAACAAAATTATCCGCTGTGTTTACACACAGTTTTTTTTTAAAAAAATGAGAAACAACTTTCACTTCAGAACTTTGCAGAGCTGAGGAGAAGGGTCTATAGCAGCAAGCGCTGGCATAATCGCTGCACTATTAGGAATATGAAGAGGAGGAGGGATTGGGGTAGTTGGCCTGTGGTGGTTCATTCTGTTGCTCTCCCACTGGTGAAACCACCCGCACTATAACTGGACCTCTTCCACTAGCATGAGAGCAAAATGCTGAATGTCAGTTTCAAAAGTAGTCTTAAATTATAAGATGAACTGTTACATATAACAGTTCTTCTAACATCTCCCGGTTCTGACGAAAGGTCATCAACCTTAACTCACTTTCCTCTCTCCAGATGCTGCCTGACCTGCTGAGTGTGCCCAGCAACTTCTGTTTTTAGGTCTGATTTCCAACATATTTTGCCTTTTGTTACATATTACTCAATTTACCACACTTTGGAACGACTGTATATTATTGAATTCATTTAATAACAAAGTCTGAATCCAAATTTTCCTTTAACAAAAACATTATGACGCTGGCAAAAGAGGACATGGGGAAGTGAGGAGGAGTGAGATTCAAAGGTAAGGCTCACATGGAAAAAAACACCAGTGAACATCGACGGCTGAATGGCCTGTTTTTGTGCTGTAACATTCTATGATTTTATAGCAATTGACACAGGAGTGAAGAGGAAAAGGTGATAAATAACATTGCTCGTTTACTCTTTCGAAAAAAATTCCCTGCTCCTTAAATGACTTGTGGCCAAAATGATTAAAATTGTACAAGCTCCTTTGATAATATAGTTGATAAGCCCACTGCACAAAACAAATGGATTCATACAGATTGGGGCAGTCCCAGGCTGGCTCAATTCTTGCTTTATATTATGTTAGCTGATCTCAGTTTAGCCAGCAGCAGGTTGCCCCTAAACAACAGGTTGACACTTAAGTGTTGTTTCTGAGTGGCTCAGATGTTTTGTTCTTAGATGGAGGTGGCAGAATGGACCACAAGAGGTTTAGACCTGATGGACAATGGTCAGAAGAGAGGATAAGGGCAAGAGTGACTAAAGGCCAGGTAAAAGAAGTGAGGTGTGTGGTGCATGTTCTGGGTGAAGTGGCACATGAAGCGTGATTGGAAGAAGGCAGCAATGGGTAAAGAGACCAGAAAATGTACGGTTGGTACAATAATAATAATAATCCTCGCATTTGGTAAAGTGTCTTATCACATCATTGAGAGGTCTCAAAGCATTTCACAGGATAGACAATAAAATGGATTGACTGTGTATTTTGTGGGCAAATGATGCAGCCAGTATGCACACAGCAATGGCCCACAAACAGCCATGGAATGAGTGAGGAATTTTACTTGAAGGACTGTTGGCCAAAACACCGGGAGAGAGAAACTCATTACATTTTTCAAATAGTGCCATGGGATCTTTAATGTCCACCTGAACGTCTCCTTCCTTCTCTCCTCTCACATGCTCTCTCTCCACATTACTCACATTAAGTCACTCACATGGTCACCCCCTTGAACTGGTTATTACTCAGGGCTTCTCAGTCTCGGACATCAAGTTTTATAAAGAATAGTTTGGAATATGTAAATCCATTTTGATCTTCAATAGGAGGAG